GGATCCATGGCATTCAAATAACAGCACAGTGTTTTATATGAGCACCGTTCCATCCGCCTCACCTCAAGACCCTCTCGGACAGGTAAGAATCATGCCAGTCACAGTCTCACAGATCAGGACTCGAGATCCATTTTCCAGCAGAGTTCAGCTGCAACCCTTATCAAACACACCGGAACAAGCTACTCAAGGTCTTCAGGATTAATAGAAAGTTACAGATGGTTTCGTTTGATCAGGGTTAAAGCTGAACTCTGCAGGAAAGTGGATCTTGAGGGCCAGAGTTGCCCAGCTCTGATGTAGACGAGTAGTAATAGTAGATGTTTGAGAGACTATGGTATGCTAATCTACTGAGATATTGAATGATTTATCTGTTCTTACATGTGGCTTCAGGCGTTGAATGGATTCATGACGGCATTTAGTCCTGTCGGGAGTTTTGCTAGACAGTTTGTGTCCTTGACGCAGCAGGTAACAGCACACACACACACACATTCAGTAAGGCATTATAAACCCAAACCCCATCTCCTGAATTCTGCTGTCTATGTCTGCTCTCTTCCTTAAGCAAAACTTGAACAGCATGCGGAGCACCACACTGGTGCAGGTCATGATAAACCTGACGCTCGCCGAGCTCGCTGCGCCGTTCAAGCAGAATTCCAGCCAACAGCTGGTCCCTTTTGACCCCATGAACGTTAACGACTGGTTCACACATGTGGTTTCTCCCGTACTCCGGCGATTCCTTCCTCCCGGCCAGATAGAAATCCACCCCAACCTCACGGCTGTCTTCCATAACCAGTTGTGAGTTTAATATGCTAGTACTGTCATAGTTATCCAAAAGCTTCCTCTGATAAAGTAATGGGAACATGTTTTCTTTAGCTACATTGAGACGGGGATGGGAGCTGGAGCCCAGAATGAAAGTCAGGACATCTGCAGTGTCTTTATTGATAATAGAACGTGTGGGGTAAGCTAAACGCATGCTGGAAACATGCATACACATTATTCCAAGCATGTTCTCTGCTGGCATGACATCATAATTTCATATGATAGCTCACACAGTGTGCTTGTCTTCCCAGCTGACGGACCTGGTAGAACATGTGGCCACTGTCCTGCACTGTGCAGCACGCTCAAACCTCACGCTCAATGAGGAGACGCTCCTGAATGTCCTCCTGCATCTCTCCCAGAACCTCAACGCTCTGCTGCAGCAGCTCTCCATGACTGTAAGATCTGCCAGACCTCAAATCAGCTGTGTACAAACCAATGCATTTAATGAGGAATGTTTTCAAAACAAATTCTTCTTGCATGTTGCTTCTTGCCACTCTCCCAGAACTTCAGTTCCCAGAGTTCCCCCTTCAGTGACCTCCTGGACCAAATGGTTCATGACACCTTCACGATGAGCAACTTGCAGGATGAGTCGTTTGTGAGATTATGGTTCCAGATCAAGTTAAAGCCTCTTCTCTCCACACTGACTCCAGAATATCTCACATGCCTCAGTCACAAAGAGTTCAGCTGCCAAACCTTCCAGATACTGTACGTCCACTGAACGCATAAGTCCTAATCCCACCTGATGAACTCTATTCTCAGCTGACCTCCACTCTCACCTGACCTACATGTTGTCCTTTCAGTGTTTCAGAACTCAGTGACAACATGCACCTGATGTCAGAAAAAGGTGCGCAGGATGTTTATCAGTATTTCATCTCATCTTTCCTGAGCCGACAAAATGTTTCAGGTACATCTATCCATCTGTTTATCCATCAGTTTATCCATCTATCCATCCATCTATAAAAATATGTTACCAACATGTTTTCAGGTGGCTGCCCCGCGGAGAACAGCAGCCTCTGGGTTACTCTGAATCTTGGTGAATTTTCAGAGTTTGCAACGTTGAGTGAAATGTACCAGCTGAACCAAGACTTCAATGCTGTGAGTTACCCACAATCCCACTGACAAGAACATCTCAGTTTGTTTTATTCTATCTCTAAAATGTCAATTTATCTCAATTCTTGACCTTCTCATCTGATTGATGAAATTGGAATTTTGTTAAAGGGGTCATGAATTGCCTTTATTTTTTTTTATTTTGTACTGTTCTCTGAGGTCCACTTACAATGTTATCAAGAGTTTACATTAAAAAAATCATTATAATTTAGAAGTAATAGGCTATTATCTGTTCTGTTTTAACCCCCTCATCAGAACACTCTGTTTGAATAGGCGTGGCGGATTGTTGACTCGGAAGTAAACGCCCACTGCTGTGATTGGCTAACAATTGTGTATGTTTGACAGCCTACATTCCTCACAGATGGATGCATAAATATTCAGTACATATCAAACGATCTGTTTAACAGACAAAGCAATAGTGATCCCATTATAAAAACAGTTACTCACACTTGTGTGTTGCGACATTACTGTCGGATCCAATATAGTCGCACAGCATCGTCTTTTAGTTTCAATCTTTCTGAAAATCCCACATCAAATTGTACCTTGTTTTTAAACGAATCCACGGTAAAATGAAGTGAACAAAGGACCAAGTTCTTACTGGCGCGGTCTGGATCTTCATTAAAAATAAAGTTCATCCACTCATTCCTAATGTTGGGATCAGAAGGAAGGCAATGCGTTATTTACACTACAAGCGCGAATCGGTGGGCGGAGCAAAACAGGCAGCGATTTAGAATCGATGGGCGGTGCTAAACAGGATGTTGATCTTCTGTGGAGGCGGGGTTTAGCCACACATCACATCATAGAGTGGCACATTCCACAAGATTTCGTTTGTTCAGACTGACTTCAATTTAAGCTGTTTTTAGACTAACGAGAAAGTTTTGAGTTCTGAAACTTTTATAAATATTTAAGAAATATTTTTATAGTACAATGACCTCTTACAGTATATGCCAAAAGATCAAGGGAATTTTGATTTCTCAGTTCATGACCCCTTGAAATTCTGTTTGTTAAATTAAATGTTTTCTTTGTGCATTTCAGATAGATGCCCTGGTGGTTCTCACTCCCAGACAGACAGCTGAACTCATAGTTGAGAATTTTGCAGGTCTCCCAGAGAAAAACATCATCATAAACATGGTTTTTGATCACATCCTGGTTTCTCCTGAAGACCGTGGTCTAGTTGAGATGCTTGGATATCTCATCATGCTCGCTGGCCAGGTAAGAGCATCTATGCCAAAGACTGTCTGTCTGTGGACATATGGCAAGACGTATAATTGCTTTGGAGTAAGGTGATTTTTTTTCCCTTATTTTGTTTTTTATGTCAGATGGGTTTGGAGTGCTCGTCATACCAGCAGATGTAAGTAAAACATTTTATATTACACTGTTTCTTTTACTATTTCTGCACTGCTTCGGTCGAGGCCCAGTTTCACATGATTTCTCTCTCTTTCAGGGTTCAGAGGCTGCAGGGATCTGTGGTTCCCTGTCAAATCAAAAATATACACTTGTCTGTTTTTATTATTTTCCTTCTTTTACTTTTACAGAAATCTCAATTTGTGATGGAATCAGCAGGTAGTGTTCATTATGGACTTTTAACTGAAAATTATATTCATGTCAAGTAAATCAAAATAAAGAGAAGAGTTTATCTACCCCACAGTAACGAGACTCTCCTGTCCGCGGGACTCGTGAGCGCCCCCTGTAGTGTGGACCTGCAGCAGTACACTTGCTCTTCGGTAAGAAAACCACGAGCAGAAAACTCAGTTAAAA